AGCACAAATGAAGAACTTCTTAGTTGAAGTGGGGACCCTAAAGTTGATTAATTTTTTTGGACTTGTTTTCATCATTAGAGAAAAATAAAAGAATCAAAAAATAAAAAAATCAAACTTTAATTTCAGATGGCCACTCATATCCATACCCAAAAACATCAGTCATAGCCAACAATTATTCAAAGTTATAACCAAAGGAAGCCTTCAATCTCCGGTTGCAGTCTCACAGACACATAATCCTATGCAGGCTTTTTAAACCAATACATTTTTTTTATTCATGCCAGAGTTATTGTGAGAGTTGTTTTCCAAAGGATTAAACAAATTGAACTTTGTGCCCTTAACTTTGGAAATAATAACTATTGACCAAGAGATGGTTATGCATCAAAATTTGATTGAAAATAAGAAGCAACCAGATGAACATACCAATGCAGGGTTTTAAACACATGTTTTTGGATTGTTACCAGAGTTATTGTGAGAGTCGTTTTCCAAAGAATTAAACAATTTGAACTTTGTGCCCTTAACTTTGGAATTAATAACTATCGCCCAAGAGATGGCTACACATCTAAATTTGATTGAAAATAAGAAGCAACCAGATGAACATTCCAATGCAGGGTTTTAAAACACATACGACTTTGGATTCTTACAAGAGTTACTGTAAGAGTCGCTTTCCAAATGATTAAACAAATTGAACTTTGTGCCCTTAACTTCGGAATTACGGAGTCAAGAGATGGTTGCGTATCTATATTTGATTGAAAATAAGAAGCAACTAGATGAACATATATTGAGAGTACCTCCATTCGCCTTCATCATAAGGTGAATAATCAATGTCCTCTTTTCTAACGCAATTGAACATCAAGGCAGCCAGGGACGCAAATATCCCTACAGAGATCAAATTAATTGGGAAAATAAAAATAAAAATCATGCAAAAACCCTAATAAGAAGCGCAGATATATTAACAAGGGGTTAGAGGATACCTGGGAGGTAGTGGAGGAACGAGATTTTAACGGCGCTGCAAACGACGGCGTCCACCCAAAACCACCACCCGGCTCCGAAGACGGCGCCTGCAACTCCCGGTCCGAAGATTGCCCACAACTCCCCAAAATCCATTCCTCACAATTCTCCTCTAATTTGAGTTCAGTCGATATTCTATAGTTCAAACAAATTGTTAGAACTCAATCGAAGAACTCAATTGGAGTTTGTTAGCTGCCAGGGCGACGATATACTTTACTCTTCCCTTCAACTGATAGACTGATTGCTAGAGATTCTTTCTGGTTCGGTCCCTAATGTTTCAATTATACACTAAGACTCCTAATAGTTTTGGAAATTCTAAAAATCCTCCCAAACACTTATCTCTTCTTTTCTCACTAAAACAATGTCTTTTTTTTTCCTCAAAAACCCCTTTATGCGCATAGTGTACATATAAGGTAAGAATTTGAAGATTGACAAAATGACTTGCGATATACCTCTTCTTAGAATTTATGAGCGGGAGTTCTAAAAGTTAAAGATTAGTCCATAATAAGTGGACGAATCTCACTCGTTCGTTTAAATTTATTAATAGTTGATAATCTTATATATATATTAACACACTATAATAATGATTATATAATAATATTATAGTATTTTTTTTTATTACTACTACTACACACATTATAATTTATAAAGAATACGGAGTACATAATAAATAAATAAAAAAAAGGCAAGGATTACAAAAAGAGTAAATACCAATTTTAGTCTTACGAGTATTAATAAAATGACAATTTTGATCCACATGTTTAATTCATACTAATTGTCATCCACGACTATTATTTTAGTACCAATTTTCATCCACAACTATTATTTTAGTGTTAAAATTTATCACGCTAGTCACATATCCGTTTAATACATGTCAAAATTTAAAAATTTTAAGAGTGTTTTTGTCATATTCAATTTAAGATCCCAATTTGAGCATGAATAAAGAAACTTAAGTCCTAAGATCGATCCCAATTCGCAATTCTCCTCATCAACCTACCTTAATTTGAGGAGGAGAACTGCGAATTGAGATCGATCTTAGAGCTTAAATTCATTTATTCATGCTCAACTTGATATCTTAATTTGAAAAGGACTCAAATACCCTTCATAATTTCATATTTCAGCATGTCTCAAACGAAGCGGTGACCGACGCGATGAATTTTGGCACGAAAACAATAGTCGTGGATGAAAATTGGTAGGAATTAAACATGTTGACCAAAACTGTCATTTTACTTATACTCGTGGGACCAAAATTGGTATTTGCGCATTACAAAAAATAAAGAGTAAATTCTTGAAATGGTCCCTCGACTAGAGCTAAATTCACAAATTGGTCCTTGACTTTCAATTTCAACCAATTAAGTCATTAACTTTACAATTTTAACACGATTTAGTCATCCGCCTATTTAACCGTTGGTTGATCGTGATCTTTGAGAATATATATGTAATTTCATGGTCCATCGTCGGTCGGAAAATCTTTAATCCCAAATGGAAACCCTACATTCCAAACTTCAAACAAGCCTTCGAACACTTCTGTCTTCTGCATCAACGCCGATGGCTGCACCGTCATCGACAATCTCCAGAAGAACCTGCAACTTTCTTCGGAGCACGTGGACTTGGCAGATTGTGGTTGGAAAACACGTTGTCTTCTTCGGTCTGGTACGAACTTAACTACATTGAATCCAAAGGGAGGATGAAGAAAGGCGACAAGATTTGACATATTGCTTTCGGCAGTGGATTCAAATGTAACAGTGCGGTCTGGAAATGTAACCGAAACCTTAAAAAACCGGCGATAAACCATGAAATTACATATATATCCTCAGAGATTAGGGTCAACAAACGGTCAAATAGACGGAGGATCAAATCGTGTTAAAATTACAAAGTTAAGGACTTAATTGGTTGAAATTGAAAATCGAGAATCAATTTGTGAATTTAGCTATAGTCGAGGGACCATTTTGGGTATTTACTCAAGAATAAATTATTCTTGAGAACTCAAAAATAACTAAATATTAAGACCATCGAAATACTTCATTACATTAATACCATGACTAAAAATGATCTACCAAACAATGAAATAAGATTTTTTTTTTTTAAAAAAAAAAAAAAAAAGCAAATCAAAGCTTAGTTTACTAAATCAGAGTTTAAAACATCAACAAGAAAAAACAGAGATAGGCCATGCCATTCCGCACAATCTAACATAAAAAGACCTCTCTAGCAATAATATGGACAGTTCGATTCACAGATCGCTTAACGAACTGGAAGCTAACACCAATAAATTGAATCCATCTTCTTTAACATCCTCAATAATGGCACTGGACGAGTCTAAAGAAGTGTCAAGCAAGATGCCATGATAGACTAATAGAGCGTCCATCTCAACCTTAAACTCTATCCCCAACTCCTTCAACCAACTAAGAGCTTCACGCGCCCCACAATTTCAACTTTTCTTGGTTCAAACACACTTTCCCAACAGCCAACGCACATACAATTATTTAAAAAAATAAAATAAAAAAATCTTCTATAAACCAACTTCCAACGACTTCATCAATTGCCACATATACGTTATCCAGTAAAAATATAGTCATTAAATATAACGAATGACCCTGTCTATAATTTTTTTTAAAAATAATGCGCCTGTCTATAATTTTTTTTAAAAATAATGCGTAGTTGATTTCTTTTTTTCTTTTTTTTTTTTTTCCTTTTCCCTGATGACATAAGACATTCGAACCTTAAATTCAATAACAAAGTCACCACCAAGAAGAATTAGTATTTTTAAAATTTTTAAAATATTTTATCAACAAATCATATATATGTCAAAAATTTGAAAAAAGTATGTTAGTAAATCAACAATATCATCCATAAAAGACAATATTAATTATTATTATTATTATTATGAATATTAAAAGAAATTAATTTTACTCGGTTGATATTTTAAATGAATTTGTGAATGATACGAATTGACATTGCTATTAAAGATCTAAATAGCCTATGGGCATAACGAGCTCTAGCTCAAACATTACATGCGCTTGAATCTCTACCACAACACACATCACTAATGAAGATTGGAGGCTACTAGCAAGCTAGCTATATACGAAGGTGTACAACAGAATTATCATCTAGATATATACAAAAATATGAATTATAAATATATATACACACAAAAGGAAAATGATGGAAGAGATATAAAAGGTGAGATTGGAAGAGCTGGCAAGAAGGCCATTTAACAACCAATTCAATTCAATCAATTAAAACCATAACTCCATATTAGGTGTATTTTTAGACCCGAGTCCACAAAATAATTTGCCTTTCACCCTCCACCAAAACATTACTCCACACCCACTAACAATTCATAATACTCCGAATTTCAAATGCAAATAAAAGCCAAAGACTCTTAAAAATCATGAAAACTATAATTGGGAATTTTATTTTTATTTTAAAAACAATAAATTTCCACAACTAATCAGGCTCTTCAATAATTTTAAATGAAAAATAGTAGGAAGAAAACATAATCATCACCTAATTTCAAATGCGACAGTTCCAATGTTTGATAACCCAATTTGGATAATAAAAATGCAAAAATAAAGTATGCACTAGCATAAGGAGAATTTACAGAGCTGGACAAAACATATCAGATCTGACTACAGCAAAAATTGCTTAGAAAATAGAAAATTTCAGCAACAGTAACCATTGTTCCCATTAAATATACAAGAAAATGGCCAAGTCAAAAACTAGTTAAGAAATTGTACCTTAAGTTACGCCAGTTAGTGAGGATACTGCCACATTGCATATAATATCTGGCAATAAGCTTCAGAAGCCCCTTTGTAACGATCACCTACATCTCATGATCAAAATTCCAGTTTCCAATTCATATCCAATAAAAACATTAAGAGGAATAATTGAGGATAAATAGTAACTACTAGGCACACCAAAAATATTAATGCACTCATGCACCATAATGCCTAAGAACTTGGAGATACAAAAGATAGTCCGAATAACACAAATTATTCGCACTTGATGTCAATTAATTGATGGCATAGCCAGATCTCAGAAGGAGAATAAATCACATGGTTTCCAGCTTCTGACTGGTATGTTGCTACATGCAATAAACAAGAAGCTAAGGCATCAACAGTCACAATCTAAATTAACAATAAATAAGTTACATCTCTTCAAATCTGATTTTGCACTAATTGCTTTGATGGTTAGCATTGTGCGTATATACACTGACTTTACACGGTTTGCCACTACTCTTCTAAGTGATGTATACAATTACATGCTGCAGAGCTATTGTCACCCCTTCCATAAGAACAAATAACTATCATGGTGTGCAATTCAAAGCACTTGATAAGAGACAACCTCAATCCTTGGGAATAGCAAGCTCTGGAATATGGATATACAAAAATGATCAAACATCCTCACCAGCATCATGACAATAAATCATTCCAGCTCCCATCATGGCAATAAATCATTCTAGTTCCTTCCCAAGATAAAGGTTGTGGTATGCTCCAGCAGGAGCAGCAGATCCACCGGAGATAGCATGTTCATTGCTAACCAGGAAGACATCCATCATTTCCAAAGAGGAAACACAAAGCTTACCCATCATGATCCAGGGGTTCTTGAGAACATGTGTCTGGAACATCCTCCTCCTTAGAAAGGCATTGAATGGGAACATACACATATCCCTTTGGTAACCGCTGATTCTTCATAGTCGCTTGATCAGATGTCATTACCAGCTCTTTTTGAAAAGTTTCCATGTGCTGTTTTATCAATATAAGGTATTATTCCCATTTTAAGACAATCACACGCAGAAGAGAAGTTTACACAGAAATCATAAAAGAAAAATGAAAGCATTAAAACAATCCATTATAAAAGGGAAAGCATTGAAGAGCTAATGAAATGAAGCACTACCTTTCTATAACTCATTCGCTTATCCTCATCATGTGAAGGATTCCTTGATAAAAGATGCCTCAGTGGAATTTGCTTCCCAGAGGAGGAAACTCTCTCCATTGGTTTAGGTGTAAAAAAGATAGGTGATGTAGAGCTGTCATCAGTCTTTTGGTCATTATCCATCGATACAGGGAACTTGCCCCGTCGTTTACCAGCAATTGCACTGTCAACTGTAATGTCATCTGATCTCTGGACTGTTTCACTGCCAGATTTACACCCATCTGTGTAACCCCTCATAGATGTAGTAGTAGCCGAATCTGAACTCACGTCCTGTTGGGAAAAAGGATGACGAGAGAGGGCAGATAAAACAACTGCATCTCTCCTAGAGGCAAGGACCTCATGTGAGCAAAAGACCAGTTCACGCTGCAGGAAAAGAGTAAAAACATGAAACATCTCCACAACCAACATGAACAGCACCACCCCACCGCATATCCAAACAAGTATGCAACATAGATGATGCAAAATAAACACAAAGTGGAGGTCCTATGTGAGTGCCAGCCAGCTACAACACAGCACATTGATGTGCTTTATAATAGAGTGGGCTTTTCAAAATTAGAAGGCAAAGTATCTGGGTTGAAAAGAATGTTAGGCAATAATACATTTGAGTATGATGCAAGAGACATCATAAAAAAAAACAAAATTAAGACTGAAATTGGAATGGTCTAGACATGTTTATCACAACCATTAGTGGCCAACTTCATTGTCTAATATGGTAGCAGGAAATGGTGCAAATGGAGTACACCGAAAATTTATTAAGAGTAAACACTTTATTTTAAAAAAAAAAATCCTGCATATAGAAAAAGATTAAGAAATGGGCATTGTGTTGAATAGAGAAATAGAATCCCCAACATGCCAGTTCACAGATAGGCCAGACACCCACATGGATATATTCTAACTATATGTAGCAATTAGAAGTATTTGTAAACTCCAAATAATTGAAAATACAAAAAATATTTACAAACAAAACATCTCAGTTTCATAATTAACATATAGTATATCAATAATATAAATTAGACTTGCAAAAAAATTTACTATTACGGATTAGTAAAGGCAAGTAGATGCAAAATACACAGCGAAGATAATCTTTACGTATTTTTTCAATGTTCTTTTCTCGATGAGATTAAAATTTATAACAGTAAATCAATAACTGACTATTGAGGTAGATCCCACAATTTACCACCACACCCCATTGCCGTTCCAAATCAATGTATTCAAACAAGAATACAAGAAAGTGATACAATTTTCTTAAGATCCTGACAGGAACTCATCATAGGTAGTTCCAAAAGACAAAACAGCTGCAATGGAAACAAGCTTCACCAGACAACCAACTACAGGAGGGGAGTAATAAGCAGGAAAATGCAAGACTGTTCCAATGTATTTCAAAACGTGTTCCAGTCATAAAATGAAATAGATGACTTAAATTTTAGCAACACCTTTAAAAATGAGGAAAAGCAAATTGATTGAAAAAACTTATCCCCTAAGGCAGAGATGTATTCATTGGCAATTATATAAAACCAGAAATAATGATGAAGGCTTACCTTCAATTTTTCTCTTTTTATTATTCTTTCACAAAGCAAGCGTATTTTCTCCAAGTCAACCTGTGCGGAAGAATATTAGATCCAATATATTCATAAATGACGAATTCACATGGAAAAAATTACTTTGATTTGTTTCCTTCACAAGCCAAAATCCCTCTCGCCCCATACCCAAAAGAAGAAAAAACAGATTGTGCAAAAAAGTACACAATCAACAATTCATTCTAGTTAAATTTAAAAAATAATAAAGAAAAGAGGTATAAGATTATCGCTCACCCTGATGTGCCGTAGACGCTGTAGCTCTTCTATCCCAAGTTTATGTGTCTCAGCCTACATGAATTCATTCATCAAAGTAAGAACTGCCACTTGTATATTCAGAAATTCATGCACATAAAGAAGGCATCAAACCTTTAGTCTCTGGTCCATGCTATGTTTGTCACAGTAAGCTTTGTGCAGCAACTTCCCACCCACTGTTTTACTAGTCATGAATAAGCCAGCACTCCTAGCACAATAAGGATGGAATGTGCTGCGGCAGTGCCCATAACTACACTATAAAAATAAAAAAATAAAATAAAGAACACGAAAAATGAAAGTTTCATAATTGACCTCCATTGTGACTATTTAGTCAATACAAATACATATATCAACATTAGAGAGGTTATGAGATATTTACCTTGATGCATACACCATGTTTCCTATGGCAAATAACACAGACATCGTTCCCCTTGCGAACTATTGCCTGCAATTGCCATGTAAAGTTGTAGAGTAATGAATATAGATTAGAGATTTCCTTTAATTAATATAGAATGTAACCTAATTGCATCTTTTTCAAAAGATTGGGGCACAAATTGAAATTTACAATCACTAAAGCCATATACAAACTTCTTCCAAGAAAATACACATACCATTCCCTCAATTGAATTCACTTGTCCCCTTCTGAAAGTAGACTCCAACACCCACTACCACATGCATCAAAATAAATAACATTAGGGAATTAAAAAACAAAGGAAAATACATTACAACAAATATTCGGAAAAACTGATAGTACTTCAGCACAAACTGCATGCACCCAGTGACCGTCAGTTGACTTTCTAAAAGCACCCGTAGTGCCACCACATAAACCACATTCTGCAACAAAACAGGGTTTCTCCTTGTCCCATAAATTAGCAGCGGGTATTCCCAATCCTCCATGCAATTTATCATCGCATAGTTCACAATACCACGGCCCTGCTGAGTTTCTGACACTACAATAGCAATCCAAGTGCACAGCAACCTGAGGATGAAAAATACTTACTAGTTTAACAACACAAGAAAAAAGCATGTACAGTTTTAAAATAAGTAACAATGCCTAGTAGTGACATCTACATTGTAGTACCTTGCATGCAGAACAAACAAGGATGGACTTTAAAATTGTCTCAGACCGTCCACAGACATCACAAATTCTAGGGTGGTCTCTAGAAAAATCAGAGCCCAACTGGATAGGGTCAGAGATGCTTTCTGATAAACCCTGCATAGCACTTGACCTTGAAAATGACTCTTTTGCACGAGGATTCTGCTGGGGCATTTGATTGGAAGTAGTCATCTTGGATAGGTCCTGCATGAAAATTAACTTGTAGTGATCACTTTAAAAAGTCACAAGTACAGTTTTAGTTGTTTCCATGATCAGAAACTGAACTATGATGACCTCATGATGAATGGATTCTTCAAGATTATCTTTCCTCAATGATGACATCCTAGAAGATGCAGCAGCAGCAGCAGTTGCAGCAGCCAGTACAGCCTGAGCTTCTTTGTGCCTCCTCTCTTTCCTTCCTTGTTTTCTGGCCTCTCTAAGCTCATACAGATATTTACTAACTAAAACAGAATCCCATTCTTGCTTTCTAGCAGCATTAATCTCCTGCTGGAGGCTTCTTGCAACTTTACTGATCAAATCATCTGCACAGTGTTACCAAATAACCATTAGGATTAAAAAAGAATAATGCAAATATGAAAGTGAAAATTAACCTAAATGTACAATGGGTAAAGAGGAGACCACTAAGGCGTTTTCTTGCTGCAGTATTAGATAATAGCTTGTGCTGATAAAAAATAATTTCTCCTTCGACATCATCCATGGGTGACATTTTCAAAAGACCCGTATTCTTTGATTTGATTAACTGCTCTAGAGTTGTCCCATTATACTTGGAAATAGAGTCACCAGAAGTTGATGGTTGATTCTGATCATTGCAGCAAGTCCCAGAACTAGAGGAAGCTTCAGGCCTTGATGCTTCTCTTTGTCTCAAACCTGCCAAGCATGACAAGTGAGAAATCCTTTTAAATTTTGAAACCATTAACCCATGTCAAAGATACCAGTGTACTGACATGTAACACCACTCTCCACAGTGACTGCCTCCCCCAAGTCATTTAATTTATGTACAATAAGTGGGTGAATGTAAGATGCAGATTTTTCCAGCTTCCTGCATAAATGGCAATGACACAGTAAAGTGCCCAAAGCAGCAATGTTAATTAGACCAATGACCAATATGTATTATGATGCTGAAAACTCACATGATATCAGGTACGCTGTTCGGAGGAAAAAAACTAGGAATCTTTGAATCATCTTTCAAGGCAGGACACTGATCTGAAGCAGCAGCTCCCTCATCAGAATGGCCATTGGCTGAAGCAGTTGATAGCCCAACTGCTGAACATTTCACAAAATAAAGAAACACACAAAAAAAGAATAATGAAATACATGTTTTTTATATCTCATCATTAAAAAAATGAGTATATGCTTCGCAAACACCCAAGCACATTCACAACAGATAGGAATGCTACATTTTGAGGGTTAAGTAGACCACTGAGCTGATTATTGAAAACAACCCCATAACTCAATGATTCGTAAATATAGGGTTCCCTGAGAAGGCAATTCTGTCACCAATTACTATGCATGTTAACAAATTAAAGAAAAAGTTATTTGACCAAAATTAATATAGCATAAGGGACTCTACATAATAAACTGTTCAAGGACTTCAACAGTTGTAGACACCGTGCTCACTTCGACATAAGGAAAAACTTATTTATTCCTCGAAAACAAAGAGAAAATAGTCCAGAGATACAGCATGTATTGCTCCCTTACCAGTTGGCATCTCTAAAAATGTTTTAATAAACTGCGACACGTACTAGCTCTCTATTGAGGCAGCCAAAAAAATAGTATCCCAAGTTTCAGAGTCAACAAAAAACACATCCTTGTTTAGGTTTCACGCTTCACTTAGAATGGGTACACTGCTTCCTAAGATTGGAAAAAATCTCCCCCAACATACAATTAGTAAAAACCATTATTCCCTTGTTTGAAAATTTGAAGCCTTAAATATAAATATTCCTTTTTTTAGGAGAAAGACAAATAAGTTCATTACAAAGGCACTACTGTTTCATTGACTTGTAGGCTTCCTATACAGCAATGTGCTATACTATATTGCTGTGTGCATGTTATGTGACATGACACATAGCATGGATACTCATTAAGGTATTTTTCAAAGCTCCAAACGTTGGTAACATTTGTTGAATTTGACCATTACAAAATACAAAAACAATGTTACTATAGGGAACAGTGCTAAAATTAGAAACCTCATAAGTTGAATGAGAGTATATATTATATGGGATCAAACTATATGAACTCTGACATCATGTTATTCTTTTGTGATAAATAGTTAGTGACATCAACATACAGTCAGTCATAAATATCTACTCATTTTGGTATCCTAGTCCTTATCCTTAGAGGGGATGCTTAAGATGATACAGGTTGTAAGGGAAATATTTTTTACTTAACATAAATGAATGCATATGTGCTTCTAACAACTTGTTCACAAGGGAAATATGCACACACAGGGCATTGAGGGGCATTTTTGTCACATTTTAATTTGATCTTTTTGCTTTTCTCAATCTGATTAATTTGGAAAAATGAACTAACGACAAAAACATTATACAAAAATCCTACACAGCTACACACACATATACAAACATACATAACAGGAAGATTTCAAAAACGAAATAGATAACCCCAATTTGTGCAAGTCACAACTCTGGAATAATTATGTACAGAATTCACAAAGGATGCAGATAATGAGAGAGCACCACACTCACATCCAGATTAAATGAGTAATGTAATAAGCACACCTTCATCATTGTAAGACTCATTTGCAGAGGTATCATGAGATGAGACATGCTCAGTAGATATCTGCATAAAAAAAGGATGGCAAAAAAATTATGAGCCAATCACTAATCAATTACAGAGTAAATAAAATCATAGCAAAACTTCGAAAGTTTTCAATGAAATACAACAGAGGATAACACTCTTCAAAAGTAAATCAGAGACTGACAAATTAATAGAGAAATATAATAACACACACAAATAAAATAGGAGAGAAAGAGGGGGTATGAGTTAGTAATATTTAACAATGCAAGAGAACAAAATTGGATATCATTTACATTCTGACAAATAATGGCAACAAGAAAAAAATTGAAAAGAAGATAACAAGAGCCAATACCAACAAGAAGGCAGAAAGAAGTATAACATGAAGAAAAGCAAAACTTGACAAAAGAGGACACCATAGTTATCACGGCGCCGTTTTAAGTCGCGGCGCTCCCCGACTGCCTTGTCGCCTAGGCGATGAGTAATATATATATATATATATATATATATATATATATATATATATAAAATTAATTATATATAATATATGTGGCAGCAGTGCAGCACAGTGCTCTGCCAGCACATTATATATATATATATATATATATATATATATATATATATATATATATATTAATTATTTTATTAGAAATAGGCAGTGGAAATAGGCAGCCTTATTTATTATACTCTAGGAAGTTGTAGCTTTCATTTACAAACAGAGGCAGAAAACTATTCCTTTTTTCAAGGCTACAACTTTCTAGGAGTAATAAAGTAAATATAAAGTAAATAAGTCCGAACGAAGAAGCCAAGAAGAAAGAAAGAAGGAAAAGGAAGAAAAAAATCAAGAATGGCAGTCGACGACGGCGGTGGGAGAAGAAAGAAGAAGAGAAAAGACGAAGAAAGAAGCACCGATGACGACCCACGGCGGTGGGATGGCGACGGCGGTGGCTGTGGGTCACTGGGTTGGCTTTCTTCTTCTCTGTCAGTTCGAGGGAAGTCGCCCACGCAGTCATACCATTTTTTTTAAAAATAAAGTTTAAAATGGGTTTATGGGTTTGGACACCGAATCGGCGTCCTTGGCGTCGTCTGGGATGCCTAGGCGACGCCGGAGCTTGCCTCACCATTTTCAGGCGAGGCAAAGCCTCCAGGCGTCCTGTCTCCACCGACAGGACGCCAAGGCGTCGCCTAGTCGACGCCATGATAACTATGGAGGAAACAATTGAATTAGTACATAAAGAAATACCAAATTGTTCCCACTTATCTACAATAATTATCAACATTATCATTAAATCATACATTCAAATTTTACAATGGCTTCTATCAATTCAGTCCCCATGGGGAGGAAATAAGAAAACAATATTTGAAAATGTACTTTTCAAAAAGAATTTAAGAACACACCAATACTCTGGCATTATCTAAAGAAATTAAATAATCCCTAATCAGATTATCATCCAAGAACTTGAAAAGAATGCAACTTAACTTCTCAACAAGAAATATTTTTATAACTTCGCCATTTTCCTGAGGCATATAAATAAGACATCTCCATATAAGCTTGAAACACTACCATTAATATATCCAAATCATCAAAAAATTCCATACCTTCTGTGGACTGGAACAAGGAGGATCTTTAACTGGATTTGAATCAACAACATCATGCAGATATGGTTGAACTTCAACTTTCTTTAATCTGTCATTTATAGGTAGATCTGTAGCTGAACACAACTTGTCATCCTTTGCAATCCTTGTATTGTTTTTGGTTCGTCTATGAGGTGGAACAGACTTAACAGGAATATTATTGGAAATCTCAGGGTCTGTTAATTTAACAGAATCAGCATTATCAGCAACAGCAGTCTCAGATTTTGTAGCCAATGTTGGTTTGATTTTAACTCTCAAAGTTTTCTGTACATTTCCTACGTTGGGACGATTCCTAAGCCACTTAACTACTTTACAATGCAACTCACCGACAATGTGATCATCCTGCTTAAATAAAGTTAAAGACAAACATGAATTAGTAAAAGAGTAAGACAATATGTCCCAACTTGATATAATAGACATTAAAGGGTTAGCTCTTGCAATAGAGGAAAAGGTTCTCAAGGAGCATGCTTGACTAAAGAAAATTACATTGAGCATCGAGGCAAATGAATCAGAAGAGACGCCCATCTCTGAAGCCAGGTCATCCACATCAACACTTCCCCGATCAATTAACTACAAAAAAGAACTATACAATAAAAAATTTGTCCACTATAAGAGTTTAAACCCATAAAACAAATTCTAAAATTAACAGCACTAACACTCCTAGAATTGATTCGCATTGTTACCTTCTTCAATACAATGGTAACACTCAAAGGATCAGCGGCATTACTATCTTCATTTATGCATACTTCCAACAAATCCTTACTAATATGCTGCAATGAGTCACCAAGAGAGGTTTGACATTTGGAATTAGATACACTGCCCTGTCTGCCCAACAGCCCTTCCTCAAGAGAGACATCATTATTCAATTTATCTTGATCCAAGTTTGCACCTCTGATTCCATTAGCCATATTATCGCCATTACGTTGGCTAATTTTTAACTTTTGAGGCTTGTTCATTGTTGATGCTGTCATCTGATTGGTATCATTGGAATAAGAAACAACAGACAGATGTACAGCCGCATTGCCATTCTGCTGACTGCTGCCATTGTTATGGACTTCGGAGTGCTTTGAGCAAAATGCACGCAGCTCAACCTAAAAGTTGTTGGGTGTCCCAATGAGAAATTTTTACAAATAGAATCTGAACACACTATTATAAAATTAAGAGGATTATGGAATAATTGCAATTGCAGTGGTCTAATATTTAACAATAAGAAAGAGCTCACATCATCACTACCGAGCTTCCCCCATATCTCCATTCTGTGTCTTGCCTCCCTTGCACATATAGGATGAAAAGATGTTCTGCAAGCTCCTAGCCACCAAATGAAAGGGTTAACAAGGAAAATTCCAATAGCATCTAGAGAAATGTTGGGATACGTAACTCTACTGATACAACTCTGTCCTTCATACTTCCCTATGCATATGTTTGTATCTATTATAAGTCTTTTGTCAGGATAAGGGAAGTGGGTGACTAGATATGCAAGTAGGGGAGCACATATTCGATAGACCAGACATTCATTCAAAGGTTCAAGGACCAAGTTATAATGCAAAGAGGATATCAAAATTATGTTTAGGCAATCTAAAAAAATGAGGGGTTTATCTATGCAATTAGTCCATGTACTATTGAGTCCCTGTATTATTAATCAAATTGGTAATTTAATCCCTTTATTGTTAAAAATTGTGTCAATTAAAGACAATCCCAAACTCAGTTAACACTACAATGTTTGCTTACATGGCAGTATGGCACTGATGTTCTAGACTGGGATGGCTGCCACGTCATTTTTTCAATTAAAAGCAAAAAAATTAAATTAATTGAAAACGTCAAACCACCCTTTACAGCCAAATATACAATTAAGAAAAACAAATAAAGTTTCACATAGTCATCTGAATAAAGCTAATAAACCGTAGAGTTAAATTTGCAAGCTCAGGAAGCAGGTAGCCATCTCGGGCTGACCAGTGAGACCTGGTGCCTCAAATGGGGCAGGGCAACAACACAAGGGAATGTATGCCGGAAAACCAATGCTGTTTAATTGGAAAAATAAATACTGTGCAAATTTTTCTATAAGTTGTGTCACATACAGAACGTAATTCAATTTTATATGGGATGGCAAGTGAATGCTTTTTTATTTATGTTTTGGATTTTTCATTTTTTGAAAAATGACAAGGCAGCCAATCACCTAAACCAGGTACGGTGTTAAAAGAGTTTACAGTTGTCCTTGATTGTTACCTTTTCAATAATACAAGGATTAAATTTACCAAGTTAATAGAAAAGGGACTAAAATAAATGTTTTTTTAATAGTTCCGCAACTGATTGTGTAATTAAACCTAACCTTTTTAATGTTCCATTGCACTGCTGCCATAGTATTTGTATCCAAAAACAATGTAAACAATGTTGTAAAAATCGGACTAGGCAATCACCTAGGCGCCCCTAGGCCGAAGGGAATAATGGGAAAATTGACCAACTACGCAGTTGGCCAATTAGTCAGTAAACTAGGTGGCTTAGTCGGTCAACTAGGCGGCCGTTATTTTTTATTAATTTTATTTGTCTCATTTGGATGTGCTATGGTTAAGAGTTATGTGTTCTTAGAGTATTATGTGCTAGTGAACATTTATATTGTATGGGAGAAATACTTGTTAGAAGTCTAAAAAAAATAGGATGACATAGGAAAGAATAAATAAGTAAATAAAATTTAAAAGTTTTAGTTGTGCACCTAGGCACCTGCCTAGGCACTAGGCACCCATCAAACACCTAATGGACATGCCTAGCGATTTTTAAAACACTGGTAAACAATGGAAACCATTATATAACATTACCAGTCAGCTTGGACTCAGTTTTACTTGATTTAAGCACACAAATCTTCCTCAAACTCACTTAAATCATGCAACTAACCCAGACCTACGTGGATCCATCATCTAAAAAGCTAAGTTATTACAGTATTTGTAAGCTGTTACAAGCAATTAGACGGACAATAGGAATGATATAAATATAAAGCAGGATACAAAATGGAAACAAAATCTTAGGATTTGCTTGGTAAGTAATTCTGAGAAGAAACTAGTAGTCCAATTTCAAGGAAATTTGAGAAGACTGCAGAAATTTGAGATGAGCAAATAGGGGAGAATATAGGTAAAAGAAAGAAAAAAGATTGAAATAATGTACACACATAGACACTAATTATTCATCTAACAAATCATCAAATTTTGTTTTAAAATTAAATGTCAATCCACTCAATTTAATGATGCAAAAAATATTAACCAATCATATATTCATATCAAACATAGACAATTATACCGAATGACACAAACATGCAAGCAATATATTAAATACAAGCTTAAATGAAATGCAGAAAAGTTATGGGTAACTTGCACATTGAAAAATTAACAAAATAATCATTTATGCAATCCAATGAAGAAATGCACATTTTGCAATTAAAAAGCAGCATGACATACCATTACTACACCGAACACAAGCCCCATGTTTCACCTTACATAGATAACAAATTAACTTTCTTCGAGTTTCTTTTATGCCATCAATGTTCACTATAGGTTCCATCATCCGGGTGTTCTCAACATAAACCTCAGGCATCCACTGACAACAAAACAGGTGAGCAAACTCAACAGCAGACTGCTCTTGACATCCCAAACCCCTCTTCTGAGAAGGTTTCATGGCGCCACCCTGCTTGGGACAAAGCAGGCATGGCTTCTCATGGCTTAGTAATGGATTCTTTTGCTTGCACCAGGAGCACATCCAAGAACACTCAACATCATCCTGCACCCCATAACATCTCTGATGAACTGCCATGCCACAGGAACCACAAACAACCAACCGGTTCAAAGTATCACCCATGTCACCAAAACTGCAATAGTGACACAAAGAAGCTGACCCTTCCACTGGGTGAGCAACCATAAGCTTCTCCAACCCAGCTTCCCCTCCCAACAGCTTCCTTTTCTTATTGGGCCTCTCTGAGGTGAGATATATCTTTGACCTAGAACCTAACAGCCACTCTAGGCCGCTAAAAGGAGGAAAAACCTTCTCCATCCTTACTGATTTAGACAAAGAGGCAGTTCCTACACTATCAACATCCATAAGGCGCTGCTCATTTTTTTCCCGTATAGAACCTTCTTTATCCGAAACCCCACTATTCAAAGCAATTGCATTCGGATTATGCACAACTGCCTCTGCATTACCCGCATTGCAAACTGAAGGGATTGAAAATAACTTGTCGCTCTTAGATGGTGGAAAAGAAGGAAGCTGATAAAGTCTTTCAATATCATCGACCGTTAACTCCCGAAAGTAGTCCTCCATTTCCGCCCAAAAGCCGGAGAGACGAACCTTATCTTGTCGCGAAGAAGACTTTGTTTCCGAACCGGAATGCGACTTCTTGTGCTTCTTCCGACTATCAGAATGCTTGGACAGCAGCTGAGCCAGCCCACTGGGAAGTGTAAGAGACAGAGTAGACGCCTGCGCATCCTCGGAATCGAATGGGGAGCGCTTGCAGAGCGCTTTACAAGCCTGCGTGTAGAAATCCATCCCCACTTCCGAAGGCAGGGGCGGTTTCATAATTACCGCGAAACACGAGGCCCTATCAATAATTTCACCACTGAGAACCTACGTACCGAATTAGGGCTAGGTTTTTCCCGCAGCTGCCGACGCCGGTCATCTCCTCCACCAACCGCCGCCACCACCACCACCACCACAATATCAAATCCACGCCCTAACCCTAGCCTATCCTATCACCAATCACCAATAAATAAACAAAAACGAAATTATATATAAAATCAAAATAAATATACGTATTCGAGTATTTGACGTATATGTATGCGAACGAGAGATAGATTTTTCCAGGGAGAGAGAGAGATGGGGTGGTGAGGGAGAGACGTTTCGTGATTGTTTTTGTTGTTCTGATTTCTGAATTTCTGATCCGTTTTCTGGCCGTTCGATTTCACTTTCAAGAGAGAGAAAGAGAGAGAGTCGCGTTATATGGAGGCAGTCGAGAACGCGTTCGCGTAGAGAGAGAGATTGTGTGACGGTGGGGATTGGAGTGGAGTGGGAGTGGGAGTGGGAGTTGGAGTTGGGAAATTTTAGAACGGACTTACGTTTTTGTCCCCCAAACTTTTTTCACCCGCTACAACTTTATTTATTATGCCGTGGAACCATATCCACTTTGCAAGGTTGACATGTTTTTATGTTCATAATTATAAAATTTTATGTCTCGAAAGAGAGTAACAGATGTATTGTTTGAGTACAAAGTGTTTGGCAGGGTGTTTGATTAGTGAGGAATTACGTGGGAAATAAATTGCAATTCCATGAGGATGAATTATTGCTAATTTAAATTCCAGTGTTTGGTTTATAGCAATAGAATTACTGGGAATTTCAATTTCAATGTTTGGTATATATGGGAATTGAAAAGGAATAAGTAATATAAAGTCCAAAATACTCATTGTTGTTGTGGTATTAATTTTAAGTTTTTAAAGAAAAAAAATGATGGATAATTTTGTCTCATCATTAGCTTTTTTTCTTCCTAAAATTCCAGGGGAAATGTGATTTTTATTCTATGAAAATGGAAAATTACAATTCTTCGAACCAAACTATGAAATTAATTTTATAACATTTGCAATTAAGTGGGAATTAAGTAGAAAGGAAATTTAAATTCCCTCAAACCAAAAGTCCTGTAATAATAATAATAATATAATAATAATACTATTAATAACAACTAATAATACAGGTATACAACTACTATGACCAAATTAGCACAAGACAAATACAATAATCATGGCATTGGTTTCAAGTACTAATATACGTAATTTATATTGATTTACTTTATGCATACAAATATTTGTAAAAAGTACGGGATTGATTGTAAATTTGTCAAAATACACATAAAAGAACGTTTTTATCACACAAATATGCTTAATAGCCACTTCATCTACGTAGACAAACTTAACGACCATTATTGGCAATATACTAGTCAAATATCATGTATTGCGCAATTGAATACATGTATATCGTAAAAAAAATATAATTATAAATACAAAAAAAAATATTAAAATGATCAACGTACAATAAATGTAAATTATAAATATTTGTAATCATACCATAAATAAACATAATGTTTACATTATTGTAGTAATCGGGTTATTTAATAGTTTAGAAAAAGTTGTAAAATTATGAACAATTTATAAGTATACAATGAAGTAATTAAGTACAGTATGTAAATTAAAGCTACAACTCGTTACTCTAATATATATTTTTTTTAATTTACGAGAAAACTCAAGTGAAACCCATTGTAATTCTATTCGACAAAATACCACAATGAATAAACTTGCCATGTTATTCATAATTGACTTATTCAACCCAAAAAAAAAAAAAAAAAAAAAAAAAAAAAAAAAAAAAAAAAAACCTAATATGTTGTTCTTATATATTTTTGTTAGTAGTCACAATGATGTTATTGAGCTACTTGGCTCTTATATAATTTTATTATTAGAAGACTACAACTTTTACTTTATTATTATATATTTAAAAAAAAAACATATTATGTATAGTTTGAATTAATTGCATAGTGCATCAACTAAATTTAACATGTTGCATCATTACCGTGAATAATGCAAACCTAACAAAGTTGTTATCATTAATATTGGTATATATTTTACAATTTTTTAGATTATTTTGAAAATATGAGTGAGATTATATTATGTATAGTATAATCTTCTGGTGAATGCATAACTATTACGTTATTATGTGTGCATTTATGTACTTGTCTATGTAGAATATATAGAGTATATATATATTTTTTAATAATTGAATATAATATTGTTACCAACTTAATTGGGATATTTAATGAAAATCCTTTTAATGTGATATTGAGGATCTTTGTAGTTCAACAACTATGCAGGACCCATATACTAATTGGAAAAAATTTGAAGGAAAAAAGCTGAAATAAAATTGAATAACAGAAACCATAAAACATGGTTACTATCTAGTACAAGTTTCTTGGAAATAATAAATGATTTTATAATGGGAAAATGGCACTTTTTCCCCCTGAATTATATACTTATAGCACTTTTTCCCCCTCAATTATTTAGGTAAGCACATTAGCCCCCTCAATTATTCTAAAAGTGGTGTTTTTTCCCCCTAATATATTAAATTGACATTTATATCCTTAAAGTAAACATTTTATTTATTTTACTTCTCTAACAAATTATTGTGTATACGTAGGGATGACCACGGTTCGGTTTGAACTGAACCGGACACTAAAGCAATCAAATTAAAAATTTTCGGTTATGATTCAGATCTAGAACCCAATATTAGATGTCAATTTATTAAAATTATGTATAAAAAATTTGAATCTTTAACCGTAAATCGGCGGTTTCGGATCCGGTTCGTGATTTTGAACTGTCTTTATTTTAAATTTTAAATTTTTATTTTAAAATAGTCTAAATTCAATAATAAATGTATTTTATTTTTTTCAGTTCGGAACATGAACCGTCCGTTCCGGTTCACGATTTTAATAAACTCTAAATATCGGGTTTCGATTCTAAATTGTAATTGGAATATTTCGGTTTGGTTGCTATAGTGTTTGTTTGATTTGAACCAAATTATTGTCATAATTTGTTGGAGAAAAAAAAATAAATGAAATATTTATTTTAAGGGTAAATATGTCTATTTAACATTTCAGGGGGAAAAATAGCCACTTCAATAATTTAGGGGGGAAAAATGCTATAGGTATATAACTCAGGGGAAAAAAGTGCCATTTTCCCTTTTATAATTTTTTAGAAAATTGAAAACTATTAAAAACTGATTTCTAATTTGAAAACAGAATTATCTACCATTTATTTGGCTATATGTCACTATAATAAGTAATAATATTCTCACCATTATCTACTTAATTACATATTTACTCATTACTATGATTATACTAGTATTTGTCCCGTGCGATGCACGGAAAATATGTTATAAAAATATACCCTATATGAGGTTTATTCATATATAAAATTTTTGTTATTTAATAATTATTATGTGTGAATTCCTATGATAAAATTATGAACATAAATATATTTACAATTAAAATAATATTTAAGGTGGGTGATTACTACAAATCTTAAACTATATTAAAAATTTAGTACATAGTATTTAATATTACAAATTTTTAAGAACTTAGTAAACTACAATAGTAATTTAATTACAATTTTAGAGTCACCACGGATCAAAATTTTTAGACCTTTGAGATTTATAACTCTAGACGTAGCAACATACAATTGACCTTTAAAGACCAAAATCACAATCTTAGTTCGAACATTGATTTTTTCTTCCAAATACTATCGAATTAAGTGTGTAATCAATAAAAGATGAGAACTAATAATTCGAGAATATAATCTTAATGTTACTAAGCCACTTCACGTCAATTAAGTTGGAGAGTGTTGTTGGATAGTATCCGATGAATCCACGAATAACGCATCTTTGTCTCCGTAGTCCTTAATATGCACATCAACAATCTTAAATATTAGGCCGCCTAGCTATGCCATATATTCATTTCAAACTTATGAACTTTGGGGTTGCATGCAATAAAAAGTATATTTTAAATATACTAAGGGTACATTATATATGTATGTAAGGTACTTTTAATATAAAAATAATGTATTTTTAATATATTAAAAATGTATTTGATATTCATGATCCATACAATTATGTGGACCATCGTTCCTCACAATAATTTGCCAGTAGAAATTGAAATATAAATAAATATAATAAATAAATAAGTATATATATATATATATATATATATATATATATATATATATATATATATATATATATATATATATATATATTATATTATATTTATTTATTAGAAACTGTCCGTGGAAATCATTATTATTATTATTATTATTGTTGTTGTTGTTGTTGTTGTTGTTGTTATTGTTGTTATTATAATTAACATTATTATTATGGTTTTGTGAAAATTAAATGTTGTATCAACATTTAATTTTCACAATAACAATATTATTATGGTCTTGTGAAAATTAAATGTTGATTATTACCATTTAATTTTCACAAGACCATATGACTTTATTATATATATGATTTATTAGCATCTTCTTTTACTTATCACCATCGTCTATATTTTATACTTGCATTACTTTTTTAGACATAACTTATTTGCTTATGCTTAAAAGTTAGACATCATTCACATTATCAAAATTCAAAAATAAAATCTAGTTATGTTATTCGTAATACAAGTTTTGTCCAGATATCGGATATTAAAATTTCACATATATTACAATATTAGAATTCAACGTAAAAAAAAAAGTATATATATATATATATATATATATATATATATATATATATATATATATATATATATATATATGTCATTCAAATGAATACATCCAAAAAATATATATATTAGCTCAAAAAAATAGTAATAATATTATCTAAACTAAATTTTAGGTGAACTTAATAAGTTATTGGTTTAGATATATATTTTAGTTAAGTTATATACACTCAGATATAAAGTTGGTTCAAATATCAAATGTAAAAATCTTACATATATTGGACTTAAAAGTAAACATTTTATTATTTTATTTGAGCCAAATATATTTTAAATATAAGGTATAAAAATCACTTGAAATTAAACTTTTGTTACTTTTATAGCATTAAGCTAAAATAAATAAATAAATAAAAAAGTGTTAGTAAACAAGTTTACTAAACAAAAAATAGAGAATAAAAAGTTAAAAAAAAAAATTAAAAATTTAAAAACAGCTTCCATTAGTAAACAGACTATGAGTTTTGAATCTAATTCATATTAGGGCTGGCAGTAATGCAATATAGTTGAACATATACTATACCCGCCCAAGGCCCAAAACAACTTAGGACATATGATAGTATGGTCAGTCCGAGAGATCGCAAATTATGCTGTGGACAATGTTGTTTTCAGGGAAAACGTGGCATTCCAGTTTAAAAAAAAAATGATTTTGTCTCGGCATTAACGACGGTATTCGTTTGTGGAATTATGAATGTACAGTTATGAAATTATGAATGTACAGTTATGAAATTATGAATGTAAGTTATGATATTATG